ATCGCTGCCTTTAATCTCAGGTCTTCACGGAGGTGAGGCATATGGAACATGCACCTACCACACTGCCCGGTTGAAGTGCCGGCTCACATCTTTGTGTAGCCCCCCCCCCCCATGTCCAGAACTTCCTCATCTTCCCGAAGCGAAGCCGTAAACTGCTCAGACACCTCCTTCCCCTCCCCCGCCCCAACCCCGGGCAGCGCCTTCCACTCTGTCTCTGTGAACTTGACCATTTAAGTTCCTCAACTAAGTGGGATCACATGGTATATGTCCTTTGGTGACAGGCTTGCTTCACTCAGCATCATGTCCCCCAAGGCCCATCCACGTTGCAGTAGGATTTCTTTCCTTTTAAAGGCTGAGCCCTGGCTGACGTGGCTCAGTGGGTTGAGCACCGGCCTGCGAATCAAAGAGTCTCCAGTTGATTCCCGGGCGGGGCACTTGCCTGGGTTTCAGGCCAGGTCCCCAGGAAAGGGGCACATGAGAGGCAACCACACATTGCTGTGTCTCTCCCTCTCTTTCTCCCTCCTTCTAAAAATAAATTTAAAAAAAGTAAGGCTGAGTGATGTTCGATTGTCTGCAGAGAACACATGCTATCTATTCATCTGCTGATGGGCACTTGGGAGTCTCTTTCTTTCTTTCTTTCTTTCTTTCTTTCTTTCTTTCTTCCTTCCTTCCTTTCTTTCTTTCTTCCTTTCTTTCTTTCTTTTTTTTTAAAATCTTAAAAGAAAAGGTTGACACTGGACTCTCTTTCTTTCTCATACCGACCCCACAGGCAGCCCAGGCTGCGGCCTCAGCCGTCCCTGCCCCGGGCAGGCCCGAAGCCCCTCCCTGACCTGGACCCATCCTGGGGGCACCACCTGGAAGTGGCCGGCCTAGGAAATGGAACAGCCGGGGAATGACCATCACAGGTGCTGTGAAAATCTCTGTCGGATTTGGGGATCCGAGAGGTGGGCACAGCGGGGGCCTGGGGACTCCTCCAGTGGGCAGGTCAGGGCCCCCCTTCCCACCACCCCAAACTCTGCAGGCCTTTTGCTGGGGGCCCGTCACCAGGGCCGCCTTGTGCTTCAGCCACTCCCTCCGGGCACAGGGCTGGGCACTCAGCACAATGCAAGCCACGTTCATGAGTGAAGTAAAAACACACCAGAGCCATGCAAACCTTAGGCAGAGGAAAACACCACTGTCACAGAAAGACTGCAGATGGAGGAGGTTGCAGCCCTGACGGAGTAGCTCAGTTGGCTGCAGCCTCGTCCCAATACACCAAGGTTGCGGGTTTGATCCCCGGGCAGGGTCAGCCAGTGAGTGCGAAAATGAGCGGAACAGCAAATCGATGTCTTTCTCTCTCTCTCAAACAATAAAAAAAAATCAATCAATTAAAAAAAATTAAACGTAGCAGCTCAGGGAGCCAGCAGTTGCCACCAAGGCCGCTTGTTCTGCAAGCTGCTTGCTGAACCGCTGAATGAATGGGCTTCACAAAAGAGCACTTTGAAAGCAGAATGGAGCCGCTACCCGCTCTCCACTGCCGCGTTGCTAAAATTACCTGGAGATGCTTGGCAGAGTCGCTGAAAATATCTGGCTGAGAAATATTCAGCGCCCGGCAGAGGAGCTGCTGGTTTTCTTTCCCCAGCGCACCCCCCCACTTCCGGTTTTTTGATTATCCGAGAACATTTGCACGTTGAAATAAAGGCTGATACTTTGATCTGCCCTCTCTGGGGCTGAGGAACACACACACACACACACACACACACACACACACACACACACACGTGTGCTCACTGGCACATGCTCCTCGAGAGCTCAGAGGCTTGGGCACGCCCAGTCCACACCCCACCGGGTTGGCCTGGTGCCACTGTCGCCACGCCAGTCTGCTTCCTCTGCAGGTTTTGGGGTTTGCACTCGGTGCCCCTTCTCCCTTTGGCGGGGTGACGGGTGCGCGCGCATGTGCGTGCGTGTGAGTCTGTATTTAAAAGTGACGGCGCTGCTCTCGGAGAGAGAGGCATTCCGGGACATCCACCCAGCAGGGACCAGGGCAAAAATAGATGCAATTAGGCCAGGCGCTCTGCTCCCTGCGCAGGCAACTCCGGCCGCCAGGGGGCCTTCCTGAAGCCCCAGGCCGCTGGGCCGAGCTGCCCAGAGCCGGGAGTCCGGGGAGGCTGCCGCAGTCTGGGCCACAGCCCACCACCCCCTGGCGCAGGGCGGCAGGACCCCGCCGCGTAAGCTCACAGAGGGCAGGTCCCTTCTGGGATGGATTAGCCTCGGAAACCAGCTGGCTTGTCCAGGAGTGCTCAGCTGCCCTTTGTCAACGGTGGCCGTGGAGAGTTGGGACTTTGGCTCACAGCCCAAATGGCCAGCAAGCGCCTGCTCTGGCTGCTGAGCCGGGAGCCTGGGCCGCCCACTCGCCACCTGCAGACCGGCCTTCTGCGCCCTCGCTGGCCACGCCCCTCGGGGCCCTGCCCCACCCCGCCCCCTCGGCGCGTCTTCCACGGTGGCATTAATCCAGGTTTTCTCTTTGTGTTCGCAGGCAAGCTTTTGCTAAAGATCCGCGTTTCTGGCTTTTCAACCCGCTGCTGCATAACTCGGTTTTCTCTCCTCCCCTTCTGCGAGCGTTTGGTTCTCCCTCCCGTGCAGGTCCTGGTCGGGCCCGTGTGCTGGGCGCCGTCTCGGGCGCCGGAGGCACAGAGCTGTAGGCGAAGAAAGTGGAAGGGCCCCTGGAGGGGTTTCCAGTCCCAGAAGGAGGGGGAGCGGATGTCCCCACAGGCTACGCGGAATCCAACAAGGCGAGGCCGTGACAGGGGTGTGCACCTGCTGCAGTAGACGTCTCACCACAGAAATGGAAGGGGCTTTCTGGAGAGGTTTTAAAGGGCAAATAGGAGCCCACAGGTGGCTCTGGCATGGTAGGGATTACAGCATGGAAAGGATGGTGTGAACAAAGGTGCAGGGTATCACAGGGTCTTCTGTACCCGGGCAGTGGGGGGTGGGGTGAGGTGGGGGCTGGTGGGAGGAGAAACGGGGGCTCTGAGCAGTAGGGAGAGCCGCGTGGAGGAGGGTCAAGGTGCATTCTTTTGTTTCCCTCCTGGCCGGCCCCTCGTTAACCTGTTTTATAGATCGGGTTCCAGGTCGAAGTTCATTTGCCAAACCGATTCCACAGCTACAGTTTTATCTCCAACCAGTCTCAGCCTTGCAGGATGCTGAGTGCTTCCGAGTCGGTGAAATATTATGACTAACTCCCAACTCCCGCCCTTCAGGGCCTGCCCGCATTCTCCAAGTTTCTGTTCAGTCATAAACGGGAGCAAAGTAGCCGGGGAAAGGAAGACGTGGGGGGGGGGCTCCTGCAGGGAGGCAGGTGTCCCCTTTGCGTTAGATGGTCCTCGGGGCTTTTGGTTCTGAAAGATGAAGCTCCAGGGGGTTGTTTAGATGGGAGAAAACAGTCGCCATGTGTCCGGGGAGAGGTAGCTGGGTGGCGGCTGGGCAGAGCCCTGGCTGAGAAGGGTCTGGAGTGTCATTCAGGGCTCTGACGCTGCCTTGAAATTCTCCAAGGACCCCCCCATTTTCATTTTGCACCGGGCCCTGCCAGTTACAGAACCAGCCCTGAAAAAGGTGGGTGCGCACAGGCATCATGACCGAGTCTCTCTGAAAGGGAAAGTCCGACTGGCCGGTTCTGTGTGTGAACCAGCCTTCCTCCTTCGCCCACGGCGAGGCCACCAAAGGCTGAATAAGGAGCCTGCAAATTCTTGAAAACATCGGCTCTTTGCAGCTGGTACAGCAGCTCCTGCACGTCATTGGCTGGAGGGTGAGGGGGGTTGTAGAGAAAGAGGCGGTGAGCCAGACCTCGGGCAGAATGGCCATGGGGGTGTCCGGAGAGACGTCACTGAGGGATCCTTGTCTCGGGAAAGGCCGAGTGGTGTGAGGCTGGGCTGTCTTTTCGTCAATTCTACTCTGTCTTCCCTTTCAGTACTGTTAGGGCCGAACTTTCCGGCAAGTCTGCCACATACACCAGCCTGTGTGCCAGGGACGGAAGCAGGGGCCGCTGCTCTTCTTGGACTTGGGGGGATTGTGTTCGCCAGGTTCCCGAACTTGGGCGTGGTCCTGTGTCACTCATCAGCGGCAACGCTCCTGTCCTCGGATGACACAGTGACGCCCCAGCATCCCACGAACCTGACTCTGAGTGAGAGCGCCGCGTGGCTGAGAACACAGCCTTTGCCGTGCTGTGTCGTGGGGACGTTGGGGTTGCTCGTGGTGGTGGCATAACCCGGCTGATCCTAATGGACACACATAGTGACCCCCGTGGGTGGTCACTACACCCCTGACCACCACAGAGGGCAATGTGGCCAGTCAGGGCAGAGGGGGCTCAGAACAGGCGGTGGCAGGAGAAGGGAACCCCCAGAATCTTCAGGAAGAGTGGGGCGGGGCCTGAGGAAAGCTCTTTGGCAAACCCGGAGCCCGGGGCAGCCGGTCACTCCCTCACTGGTGTCCTTTCATCAGCCTGTCTCCTGTCGGGGGGCGGGACTCCAGTGCTGGGGTGACCTTGGTGAAGTCCCTTCCCCCATGGACCTTTGTCCTGGGGTCCCTACCCCAGCTCTGACCTTCTAAGACCTTGACTTTGTCACGGGGCTACTCCTCACTTTCTGGCTTCTCGGTGCCCCCTGCCACCAGGTCACTGACTTCCTGGGCAATGGGCTCTTTTCCCCCTTCCTGGGCCCACCCAGCACCGGCAGGTGCCCCAGGCCCTGTAGGACCTGCGTGTGTGAGAGACACAGAGAAGCTGCTGCCGAAAGCGTCAGCACCGAGTGGCCTTTCAGAGTGTCCTTGGAAATGACCTGTGCCCTGGAGCAGGGTGCACTCAACTGGAAGCGTCGCCCTGAATTCCCACAAAAGGGCTCCTGCCTCGCACGCACAGGGGCTCTTACAACTACCCTGCTTCGTGCCCCTGCCCCCACCACCCTGGCGCCCGCCCCTTCTCTGCCCTCCACCCCCCCCCTCCCAGCCCCTCTAAGGCACAAGCAACCCAAACCCATGAGTGTGCTGGCCATGAACTGCGTCACTTCAGGCTCGGGTCCCCATGGAGCCCTGCTTTTGTGCCCACGGCTCTGTGCCCCACACTCAGGCCACAGGGGCGACACCTCCATCTCTCTGGTTCCCCCCACAGACCCTGACGCCCATCCACCCAGGGAGCCCTCACCGAGCGCCTCCTCTGCCAGGCAGGGGTGATGGAGGACACAGGCCTGCCCTCGGGGGGCTGGGGGCCACGCCGAGGGTGGGAGCCCACGGGAGCGGGGCAGGGAGTCCCCAGGAGGGTTTCCCAGACAGGGACGTGTGGGGGTGACAGGGGCATTCCTCACGGTGCCAGCATGTCCAGAGGCTCAGAGGCGCCCAGCTCACAGCCACGGGCATCACAGGAGCCTGGGGGACGGGTGAGGAGCTGGGGGAGACGGTGAGGCTCAGTCCTCAGGTGGGCTGAGGCCTGTCACGAGTGAGTGACACCTGGACGCTCTGACCGTGAGCTGATGCCCTGGCACTGGGGTTTGAATACAGGTCCCTCACAGGGGTTCCACTTGGATGCAGGGGTGTATGCGGGGCCAGGGCAGACCCCGAGGCCACCCACAGAGGGGACTAGTCTGAGAGTGAACCAGCTGGTCCAGAGACAGGACAGGTGCCCATGCCGGAGCTGTGTGAGGGGCTCGGGCAAAGTGGACAGACTGGGGAGCAGACGGCGGACCTGGGAGCCCGTCCCAGCTCGGCTGAGGCAGCCTGAAGGTGCCCGGTGGGGGCTGGAGGGCCTGGGGCGAACGGGAAGCTTGGCCGGAGCTGGAGCCCCAGGCTGAGGTTCTTGTTCGTTCTGCACAACCAGGTGCGGTGGGCAACTTCCGGCAGTACCTGGGGCATTAGGGGGCTGACTCAGCCAGGCCTCCGCCCGCCCCTCATCTAGGCACAGGGTACATCATGGTGCAGAGTCAGGGGAGCTGGCGGGGTGAAGGTCGGGAGTCACCCGTCTGCCCCGGGTTGGAACAGCGGGCCATGGGAGGGGAGACTGACCTCCCCAACTGCAGCCGGGGCCTTGTGGTGTCCACCTTCCATCGCTCCCTGACTGCTGGAATCTGCGTTTCCTTCTTTCCCACCTAAGCTCAGGGTCCACCGTCTTTGTGCGATGTGGCCCGGTGGTTCTGAGCACAGCGGTGGGGTGAGGGGGTGCAGGGCCACGATGACCTGCTGGTGGGGGGTGGACAGTGGGCGAGGGGCACTGCGGGGACTGAGAGCTAGCCTCCCAAACTTTCACGAACCCTGGAATGCTGTTAAAGGGCGGATTCTGGCTCAGGAGTTCTGGGATTCTGCGTTTCTAATGAGCGGCTGATGTGTGGACCACACGGGTGATAGTGAAACCCCAGGAAGCTCCCCTTAGTACCTGCTGCCTGGCGAGCTCCCATCGGGGCACTCAGAGGGGAGGGGCTCCTTGGCCTGGAGCCAGGAGCCACACTGTATGACCTACCAGGGACCCTGTGCCCCCAGGGCCTTGGGCCGGTGATGCTGAAGGCTTAGTCAGTGTGTTTGTTGGCACAGAAACTAGGGATCTGCCCACAAATGATCTCACTCTGTCCTTGCTGCTCTGAGGGTTAGAGAAGAAAAGCCCGTGAGAAGGGGAGGCCAAGAGCGGTTGGTGGATTCTCCCCGGGTTGTGGTTTTAGTTGGCAGAGACAGGATCAGAACCCCGCTCTGAACAGGGGACCTTCCCGTTCCGCCAGCATCACTGATCTTAGGTTTGGAGGCTGGCACGGCAGTGGCTGGGAGTTGTCTCCTGTCCTGTCATCTGCCCCCTGATCCTGAGGAGCCCGGGGTTGCAGGCTGGGGGGGGTGGTGGTGAGGAAGGTCACCTCTGCCTTCAGCCGCTCGATCTCGACCTCCCCGTCCTCGATCTGCTGCCGCAGCTGCTTGGCCACCGTCTTCTCCGTCTCCACGATCTGCAGCAGGTGCAGGTACTTCTGCATCAGCGCCTCGTGCTCGGTGGCCAGGGTCCGGTAGCTGTGGACGGGTGGATGTGGCAGGTGAGGCACGGCCCGTTTAGCCCGAGGGACCCAGTCTGAGTGGGGCTCACGACCCAGCGCCCTCGGGAGAGGACCCCAACTCCCAGACACAGTGTGTGTCTGACGACCTGGTCTCTGTAGCTAATTTGGACAGATAGTCCTTGAAGACAGGGATGGAGACAGCCTGACCTCAAGGCTAAGGTCAGGGCCGTGGCCATCATAAAGGGCTTCTGGTGAGCAAAGGTCAAGAAAGGGCCGTAGAATCCATCTGTCTGTCAATCCTTCCTTCCTTCCTTCCTTCCTTCCTTCCTTCCTTCCTTCCTTCCTTCCTTCCTTCCTTCCTTCCTTCCTTCCTTCCTTTTGACACCCTCTCCTCAATCATTTATCCACCCTCCATTCATCTTCCTTACAGCATGCGTCCTTGCGTCCATCCTCAGTCCGTGCATCTATCCTCACATTCTTCTGCCCAGCCCCCCTTTGCTGAGCAGCAGGCCCTGGGAATGCCAAAATTGCACTGGTCCCCACCCCACATTCTGCAGGAAGACAGACACAGAAACAGCAATATCCACTGAGCCAGGAAGAGCTACCACTCATCCAGGTACGTCTGGGTGTCCTGGCCGCCCCCTCCGCAGTCCTCAGCTCTGCAGAGGGGTTATTTGGGGTGATAGCCCAGGACCCCTAAGACTCAGTCCAGCCTGGAGCCTCCAACCTCTGCAGGACACACTCCTGCCCTGCTTTTCTGCCAGGGCCCCGCGGGTCTCCCTCAGGAAGGGGCCCACGCTGCAGGGCCCCCGCCCCTGTGTCAGATCGCAGAGCGGCATAAGGATTTCAGTCTGCGGGGGAGAGAACCGAGGCCCCGAGGGAATGTGGGACCGGTTTTGTGGCTGAGCAGCCGGATGCGTCCGGCTGGGAGCAACCTTCTGCTGTGATGTATCCATAAAACCCGTCACCCAACCAAACGGCGCTCAGTTTCACTGATACGAAAACAGGAGTGAGCCTGAGTGAAGCCACGCTGCTCCTCACGGCCTCTCCGTCCCTGTGGCACCCAGGGAAGTGACCCCGAGCTCCCGGGCTCTGAGGGAGACCCTGCCAAGCTTCCATCCCCAGTCCTCTCCTCCGCCACGGCCCCTCTTCCAGAGGTGTGGGCTCGCTGCATCGGGCCTGCGTTCCGTTTCTGTGGCCTGACCCTGGGGCAGGGGACGTACCTGGCGTGAGCGATGGCCGCCACCCACTCGTCACAGTCCTTCGCATCCTCTGTCCTCAGCTCCAAGGCCTTCTGGTTCTCCTGGCTGAAGTTGACCGTGAAGTAATGCTGCACAGAGAGGAAATCTCCGATTACCGGGGTCGTCCCCAGAAGCCGCAGCGCCTGACAGTCCGGCTGTTTGCAAGACGCGTGCAGCCGCGTCCGCTGGGCACCGGTGCCTTCGCCGTGATGGTCTGAGCGCTGAGCTACTTAGTGCGCTCAGAGTCCTGATTGAGGCGGGCTCTGTGTGGTGAAGCAGAACCTATACTTAGGGTATTGCGAGAGCCCACAACGCCCCAGTCACCAACAAATTGCAAAACCAGCCAGTTTTCTGCCACCACGTGCGCTGCGGGGAAAACACGAGGAGAACCTCCCGAGGTACCCAGTTGGTGTAGCGTGAGTTTAAGTCACCCCCCAAATTTACCAAGCACTCTTCCAAGTCCTTGGGGGCAGAGAGGGGAAGAGACGGACTCAGTCCCGGAGCGCCCCCCGGAGGCCACCTCTGTTGCGTGCAGGTGACTGAGTTAGAGCTGGCCGCCTCCAGGCCCTGTCCCCCAGGCTCCCGGGGAGCAGACACACACCTGTCACGGCGGTAGGTGCCTTAATGCACCTAAAGCGCTTAGAACGATGCCCCAGGCCTGGTATGCGCACGGCTGCCGTCATTCCTGGGGTGCAGCGGGTTTCAGTTCAATGGAAGTGAGGGGCTTCCCGGAGGACGGGCCTTGGTCCTGGGTTCCAGAACCGGGCTGGGCAGGGGGACAAGGCAGGGCGGTGGGCTGAGCAGAAGCAGACTTGAACCAAAAGGATCATTCCCAGGTTTCTGGCTGGGGCACCTGGTTCGGGGGTGAGGGGTGCCGTAGACTGGGGACATTGGCAGGATGGAGGGCAGATTTACAGGGTCAGGGAGGGGTGAGGTGGGGGGGATGGGCTTGCCGTCCTGTGTGCCTTGTCTCTCCAGGCTGCAGAATGGGCTGAGGGGGGCAGCCTCGGGTCGAGAGGGAGTTGGAGAGGCATCAGGGAGACAGATGGTGAATGGGCACCACACAGGGGGCAGCCTGTGGAGGCCCCTGGGTCTGGTCCTGAAGAACCCAGAGGAGCTGGGCAGGCAGGACCCTGGGGCCTGACCATACGGAAGAGGTCCCGGCGCAGCCCTGCCTCCCTCTGTCCCTGGGTGTCAGGGCGGCAGGCGCAACGGTACAAGGTGGGGCGCGTAAACTATTTTTAGCTTCTGCTGACATTTACTGTATTTCTGTTAATTGTCAGTCTGGGTGGCAGCCAGGGTGCGTGCGTGTGTGTGTGTGTGTGTGTGTGTGGGTTGTTGCAGTCAATGTCTCTCACTTGTTTCCTAGGAAACAGATAACTGGGGCCAGGGAAGGAAATGTCAGCCGCAGACTCAAATAACTGAATCCGCGAGGCTCCGGTGGGCACCCCTCCGCCTCAGGACGGAAGCAGGCGGAGGGGGCGCCACAGGTGGGTGCCTAGAGCTTCCCCCTCTCCAGAGACGATGGGCTCATGCGTGTGTGTCTCCCAGGACCTGTTTATTCCCACATTCCCCAGCGAGAACAGGTATTAGCACCTGTTTTCCAGTGGATGAACCTGAGGCTCAGAGACATTGAGCCACCTGCTGAAGGCCACACAGCAGGAAGGCAGAGGAGTCGGGACAACAAGGCTTCACTGAGCACCAACCGTGGGGTTTGGCCCTGGACTTGGCACTGGGGTGTGAAGGTGAAGAGCCCGAGGGCAGGGGAGACACAAGGACAGTGGGTGGGGCTCCCAGGGCAGGCACAAGCTCCAGGTAAGGACAGTGGGGGAGGGGTGGGCGAGGCTGAGTGGCGGGACAGGTTTAGTCTGGGCCTGGGAGACTCAGGTGGGCGTTTTCTCCTGGGGTCCCATTCACGACCACCATAGTGGTCCCAATGGAGTCCCCTCTTTCACGGGAGCTGCTCTGAATTTCTTCCCATAAGCGATCCCCCCAAAGGACATACTGCCATGTCACAGCGGCTGGGCTTACTGACTAACAGCAAAAGCCACAAGCAGGTGACACTGCATTGGCCTCCAGGGCATGGGTGGTGGTAGGGCCCTGTGGGGGGTGGGGCACTGGCTCCCCATGAACCACGTCTATGACCCTTTGGGGACAGTGGGAGGTGCATTCCCACCGTGAAGGCCCCGAGCTGCCTCGCGGTGCAGGACCCTTTCCCCAAGTCGGTTCACCCCAAAGCCCTTCGGCTTTCATTCCTTGGAAGATCTGGCAACGTCCCACTAGACCAGTGTTCCGGGGAGTCCCCTCTGGGACTTGGATTTAAATTTTTCATTTATTATTTAGACTTGGGGACCCCACCCTGTCTCTTTACTTCTGTATTTCTTTTTCCACTCAAGGCAGAGAATGCCGCCCACTTCACAGGGTTGCGTAAAACAGAGGGTGTTGCGGGAGCCCCTCGGTGGCAGAATGCTCAGGGATGGTCTGCGGACCCGAGGGGTCGTCTGCACGGTCCAGGTGCTGGCTGGACTCGGCCTGCCCAGGGAAGCATGCTTGCGTGTGCATTCACATGCATGTACACAGCGTTCCCTAAAATCCACATGTACCTGGCACCTGTGAGTGTTTGCAAACCGGATCTTTGCAGACGGATGCAAGTCAAGATAAGGTCACAGTGGGAGACGTGACATGCAAGCAGGGAGGCAGGTGTGGGACAACTGCGTCTGTGGGTCACGTGACGCCTAGGGCGGCCCGCAATCGTCAGCGCGGGAAGAAGCAGGAAAGACTATCCTGCAGAGCCTTCGGGCCCCCAGAACTGTGAGTAAACTTCTGTCGTTTTATGTTAAAGGAGTTAAAAACTCTCCCACGGATGGGACTGCACACACACACGATGCAGCCGCCGCTGTGAGGGCAAGGCCTGGGAGGGGCTTATACACCCAGTGAGGCTTGTGTTCAGGTCAAAGGGCTCTTACCCGCCAGGTCAACGGTTTCTGGCCATCTTTACATCAACCTCAGTTCTGGTGTCTTTCTCATTCCCGATGTCCACTGGCAGCCAAGTCCTGTGCTGTTTAACATGTCTGGACTCTGCTTTCCCCGTCCTTGCTGCCACTCTCTGCCCCAGAGCTTCCGCATGGCCCGCCTGGACCACAGAACGGCCCCCTTCTGGTCTCCCTGCCCCTGGGCTTCTTAATTCAGCATGGCTAGAATCTGGACCCACTGGGCCCCTGCTCATGGCGTCCTCCAAAGGGGGAGGCTTGGATGCTGGCCCTCGTGGTCACCCTCACCCCTTACTGGGTCCCACTCTGGTGCCCTGGTCAGCCAGGGCCAGCTTCTCCAGGCTGGGTGTTGCCTGCTCTCCGCTGGCCATCCTCAGGGCTGGGGTCCCAGCTGCCATCCTCACTCAGCCAGCCCTCTCTGCCTCACACTGCCCGATATCCCAGTGGACAGGGGCCGTGCTAGAGAGAACCCTAAGGGGTGCCAGTTGTGTGTGTGCGCACATGCATTTTTGCACGCTCACGTGCACGGCCCTGGCCTGGAGTCCATCTCTCCCCCTCCTCCCTCAGTAAGGGGCTGTCCACCCAGGCTCCTCCTCATGCCTGCACACCCCAGGTCCCCTCTCACCTCTCACCCTTAGGATCCCAGGGAGGCCACGCTGTCCTCCAGCCCTTGCGGGAAGAGGTCTCATCCTGACCCAGGCCAGGCCACCCCTGGTGTGTCTTCTAACCTCTGTCACCACTTCCACAGCAGAGTGTATGCTCCTCAGCCATGGCTCCTCCCGACCCGGCTGCGCCACCCTCATGCCTGGCGCAGAGCAGGGCCTCCCTGGGTACAGTGTTTCCCAGTCGGGCCTGCTCGATGGACATGCTGGTCTCTGCTGGCCCCACTGGTGCTTCTGTACCAATCCAGAGAGGCCCGGACTGCCCGCACCCCCACAACAGCCCTCACCTGATGTGGCTACACAGGACGCTGCACCCCACTTAACAGCCCTCTGCCCCCACTACAAGTGGCCTCATTCCGGCTCAATCTGTGCCTCTGAGTTCTCAAGTCAGCGACTCCCCAGGACTCTCTCTGAAAGCTGAGTGCCTGCCTCAGGCCCCTGTCCCCCTGTCAGTCTCCCCTGCTCTGTCTGGTCACCCTGCTCAGGCCTGAGTCCTGCCTCCGGGAGCGCCCTGCTGCACACCTTACACTCCCGCGTGCAGCCAAAGGGGTGTGAGCAGTGATGTAAGGTCAGAACGGAAAAGCCTGGGAAGAGGCCCTGCACAGGGCTCAACCCACAGCCCAGGGCCTGTGTCTGCGCGGCGCTCCAAACTGCTGACCCATCCTGGCTTTCGTGGGAGCTCCCCCAGACCACAGACGTCACATGGGTTGGTCCGGCATGCACCTTGTTCCATCTGTCCTCACAATGCACCAGCCTGCCCCTGACCTTCCCACCAGCCACCTCTCTGATGTTTGCTGGATGAACTTGTCCAATACATCTGCCCTTCAGCTTCTCTTTGTAAAAACAAAAAAGTCGTTTATTTGCTTTTCTATAACTAATTATAAAAGGCTTTTAAGGTCTGAGTTGGATTTTCCAATCTGGAAAACCTAAGAACTCAACTAGAAGTATCTTTTTGAAAATAATTATCTCACTTTTCAGAGGAAACAGGTGTCATTTGCTTTGTCGAATTAGTAAGATCTAGTCTTTAATGTATTAACTTTCCGAATGTAACGGTTGGCCTGGATGTCCACTCACTTTAATGACCCCAAACTGGAGGCCTGGCTCAAGTTCTGACCCTGGCATTGACTCGCAGTGAGAACTTGGGGCCTGGAAGAGACAGTCACTACTTATCTGTTCAGAGATGAGCTCCATCCAGCTGAGCCTCATGTGCCAGATGAGAAGCCTGGCTCCCCAGGTCCCATAGCCACTGGGGGTTACTGTGTACTGATCCAACGTGCTCAGGGTGGGAAGGACTCTGCAGGCTGCAGTCTGTGAAAGTTATCTTATCTGGGTGGTGGCTGAGCAGGAAGGTTCGGACACAGCACTTGGAGCTTTCACGGGATGAAAACTGGACCTCCCCCCCCACTGCCCATTAAACTCAGGGTGTGGCTTGCTTGTCACTGCAGCATAACCTGGCCCCTCCTGACCAGTACACCAGTTATGAGGCCACCACCTAAGTCTAGGTGAGAGGTGACAGCAATCTAGACTCTAGTGATAGAGGGTGAGAGGGACATAGGTGGGGGTCAGGGGTCTGAGAGGGACTTAGGAGGTCAGACTAACAGGGCTGGGGATGGGGTGGCTACCAGGGGTGAAGTGGACTTCCACAGCAACCATTTTTTCTCTTGCAGGACCACCTTGCTCAGAATTTTTCAGAACCCCACAAGTTCTTCCTGTTCAAATGCGCTATCCTAACTTCATGTCCAGGGTTGGGGCTCAGTGTTGACTTGCTTTGAACCTGGCAGAGGCCTGGGTGACCCATTGTTTCCCTGAGGAAGACCTGGTCCTAAAGGTGAAAGCTGACTCTGTGACAGCTGCAGTTTATCGATAAGACCTACTGTGTTATGCTAGGATGTTCCAAATAGCCACCAGTTTACTACTTAGGACAGGGCTGCCAGGCCGGCTCTGTTATGGTCTGAGGCTCAGGAAAACTGAGGCTCAGAGAGCTTGCAGACCTTCCCAAGCTAGGAGGTGGCACAACCAATATGCAAAGCTAGCCTGTGTGGCTGGAAACCCGTAGCTTTTCCCTAACACCGTCTGGTTGTCAGAGGCAAGGTGCTCAGTGAATGAGCTGAGTAGAGGCTGTGCATCTGAGGGGTTGCATGGCCCTCCCTGAGTGGGGGACCAGCAGTGGGGGGTGTCCAAGGCTCCCAGCTGCTCCCTGCACGACAGTCGTCCTCGCAGAGGCGTTTGGGCGTTGGCAGTGTTCTGGGGCCCTGCCAAGTCCACGCGTCACCAGCGCTCCTGCATAAACATCGGGGGCTGAGCCTGTTCTTGGCTGCTGGCACACAGGCACCCGCGCCAGGCTCCCACGGAGTCCAGGGAACGGGACGGTGGGCGTGGATGCTGCCTCGGTGTGTTGTCCGCAACGCTCATGGGACCCAAGCAGAAACGAGCGCCCCTTCACAAGTCACGTGGCCGACGGTGACATAGTTTCACTGCTGTTAATTTTTTTTCTCTCCATTTAGCTTGGCAGAGGACGGTAGGCTCCAACAGCACCCTCCGCCCCCCCGGCCCACGTCTCTGTGCGGCTGGAGGTTAAAAAGCTCGGGTTTTGGCGTCAGGCAGACCCGAGCTCTCGTGCGGGCTCCGGGTGGACACGCCCTGTAACCCCGAGCAAGTGCCGGCACGTCTCCGGGCCTCAGTTTTGTCATCTCAAAAGTGGGTCAACAGTGTCCCCCTCACGGGACTGCTGGAGCGATTAAGGGAGGTGCCGGGCACACAGTAGGTGCTCAATAAACTGCGTTCCCTGTGACCGGGTATTTTTGTCTGATTTTCAAAGCGCTTTGCTGGGAGATACACACCTGAACCCGCATTCCCGCCCTGTCACGGCTGGAGGGCCCGTGGCAGGGGGTTTGGGCTGAGGTCAACGTTTTTTAAAGCGCAAATAAAGAAGAAATTTTATCTGGCTTCAATTCTGTTCAAGAGCGAACAGTGGGTCTGCGGGTTGGTGGGGGGCGTGCCCTGCCTGCGTCTACGGCGACGGTGCTCACGTGACCCGGGAGCGCGGGAGAGCCGCCCGCCTCTCGCGCGCCTCCAACTTCGTTCTCGCGAGACTATGCGGCGCGGGCCTCGTCCCAACGACGACGGCACGCACCGGGCCCTACTCGAGTGCCGGGTCTCAGAGGGAGTTGCTCCCGTCCCGTATTGCGACGTGTCCTAACCGTCGTCCGCCCGAGGGTCCGTTCGGGGTCCCCTTGCCCTGAGCGGCCCTCCGCCCCGCCCGGACCCCGAGGTAACTCAGTGGAACCCCGCCCGAATGCCGCCTGTTCTCTGGGCGCTGGGTTCGCCGCATGCTCAGACCCCAGGCACCTGCCTGAGCTGAGGAGCCCGGACTGGTGAGTGAACGTGGGGAGGAGGCTCTAAGGCGAGAGTCCGCGGAGAGGAGACTTGGGGGAGAGGACTTGGTGGCCGCAGGGAGGCCGCGAGGGAGCCGCTGCCCGGGGGCCCGTGTGGGGGAGGGGCTGGGCGGCGAAGGCCCTGCGCGGCCCTCGGCCCTCGGCCCAGGCCTCCGCTTCCGCGTTGCTCGCTTGCGAAGGGCGCTGGAGCCCTGGACGCGTCCCCTGGCTCCGTGCCCTGGTCTGGCTTGTGCTTCAGAGGGTCCCCTGGCGGCGGGCAGCGCGGTCGGGGGCCCGGCGGGTCAGGGGACAGCCCCAGCACGTGGTCATTTTCGAGTGCCCTGAAGGCTCCCCTCTGCTGGGGGCGCTTGAGCCCAAGGCTCAAGGCTTCCTTTTCGCGGGACCCACAGGGCCTAAGTAGCTGTTAAGTCACCGTGAATGAGTCTAGGCGCTGGGCACGGGTATCTGGTATTTCCTGGTCCCAATTAGGGCTCAATGACCGAACTGTAAAACCCCTTTTCAGCTCTGGGCACCCCGCACAGTGAACCGCGGCCTTTCCAGGGCACCAGGGCACCAGCGTCCCGCGTCTGAGTTGCTGGGGCCACATGTATGCGTGTGAGGGGTGTCGCTTTCCGCTCAACCTATAGTCCGTCCTACTTTCGTTCGCATTTGTCTTTTTCTCCTTGGCCCAGGATCTGAAAGCGCTAAAGCAACAGGAAGGTGAGGTGAGGGTTTGGTGGGAGATGGAGCTGTAGGGTCGGAAAGCCACAGAAGTTTCCGCCGTCGCCTGGCTGGGCAGTGCTGGCCCCTTCTCTGTGGACCTGACACACTCATAGCCTTAGATCCAAATCCACTGGGCACCAGGCACATGTCCTGTGATCAAGGCCAGGAGTGGGCTTCCTCTTGTCTCTGGGGAAAGGCACCCAGTGGGTGGACAGCGGGCACTGTGAGCCCCTCAGCTTCTGTGGCCCCCAGCCACACCAGTGCCAGCACTCAGAGGAGCTGGATGTGTCCCTTCTGTCCCCGTGACTCAGGAAGAGCCCCAGGATGCACATTGTACCTGCTCCTGTTTGGGAGTGAAGGGATTGCTGGGGTTGGTTTGAGCAGGTCCCCCGTGAGAAGCTGTGGCTGGAAGTTTTTTCCAGGGGCCTTGGAGTGAGGGCGAGAAAAGTAGATTTGGAGTAACTCCATGCCAAAGCCAGGCAAGGGACATCAAGGGTCATTCTCTGGGGAAGCTGAACCCAAACTCAGAGTTCAGGGACTTGTGCCACTGAGTGTGACTTTCGGGTCGGGAGGAGAGGAGGTCAGCACTGAGAAGGTAGGGCCCAGGCCAGGGAGGGGCCAGTGGGCACGGAGCAGGCTGTGCTAGTCTGATTTCATGAGGCCTGAGCGTCCCTGACCTGAGCTCCAAGACCCTGGGGCTGCACCAAACACAGCCAGACTGTGTAGAAGCAGCCAGAAGAGAGTGCATCATGTTAGGGTGGGCATGATGCCCTGTGCCTTTGTAACCTGGCACCCTGTCTATCCCATCTTAGAGCAACTGTGCACCACGAGGGACCCTTATTTAGCAGCCTGGGGACTGTGACAAGCCAGCTTCTTAGGCCTGTGGCATAGCACAGGGCCTGGACTTGGAGCCTGGTCAGCCCTTAGGATGTAAAATGGGGAATTAGCATGCTACACCAGCAAGTTCAACTCAGTAAGCATTTCCTGTGTACCTACTATGTGCTGTATCCCTTACCTGTTCATTCCTGTCACAGGGGGACAACCAGCCAAGATTCGCTTTCTGTTCCTTTAGAAACTGTCCCTGGCCCTTCTGGGTGGAAGCTGCTTGCTTAGACCCGGGTATAAATGATATCTTGCTAAAACCACTTCTTCACCAGAGATACAAGATAGTCCACTCAAACAAATGCTCAGCCTCGTGGAGGCCACCTGGTGTGGATGCTCTGCTGCGTGCAGGCAGGTTTCGAGTCAAGGCTTCCTGGGGACCCAAATGCAAGGCAAATGCACTCAGAGTGGCTGGGAGCCCGGCATCTGGCCAGGGCTCTGTGGGGGCCTTTGGGCACCTGGGTCAAGGAGAAACATGGAGCAGCTAGCTGCTAGGGTTATCCATTTTACACTAAGATTTAGAAGGTGGCCCTGGCTGGTGTGGCTCAGTGGATTGAGCTTGGGTCTGCAAATCAAAGGGTCGCTGTTTCAGTTCCCAGTCAGGGCACATGTCTGGGTTGCAGGCCAGGTTCCCAGTAGGGGACACGTGAGAGGCAACCACACATTGATCTTTCTCCCCCTTTCTCCTTCCCTTCCCCTCTCTGTAAAAATAAATAAATAAAATCTTTAAAAAAAGATTTAGAGGGGAAAAAATGATAGTTTTGTAGACTCGCACAGGTGAAAGGAGGGGCTCCTTTTCCATGTGTGGCAAATGCTCTGGATTCAAATGGAACATCCGCACAAGTGTAAGGCACAGTGCGTCTTTGGTGGAAATTTGGACCTGAGCTGGGCTGCGCCAGACAATCAGCCACTGCTCCCGACCCTGTTATGTTCTCTTGTGACAAGAGGGCAACATACTGAACACACTGAGCCTCTCTGATGGGTGGAACTCCGGGGAAGGGCTCTGAACATGTGTGTCCTGTCATGTGGGGGCCATCAGTTGGCTTTGCCCTCCTGTTCCTCCCATAATCCACTGTTAGCACGAGTCAGTGCCTGAGCCCCAGGCTGGATGACCTGGAATTAATGTAGGATTTCATTTTCAGGAATTGTTAGACACGGGATAAATGCTAGGTCTGACTCCGCCACACATGTACTGTGTGGTGTTGGATAAGTCCCTTCCGATTTCTTGGCCTTCAGCCCCCCCTCCCTGTGAAAAAGGAAGC